CACAGTTAAAATAATCAGTAAAATTACTTTATTTTGATACACTAATGTCTATTGATCTTATTATATTTCACAAGTACTAGTACCCAAAAATACAGCATTGAGTATTTTGGCCCAGTGCGACATCACAAATTATTATTGTCTCCCCATACGTCGCGTTTAAAGAAAATGAAAGCTTGTTGCTCGTTCAACGCCGGATTAACCACATGTCAAATACGGCAAATGCCGTGGGCCTCGCGCTTTACTGTGCTACGCCCATTTTTACGAGAACACGGCCATTTTCTATTGGGATACACCCATTTTAGGTGCCTCGCGAATTTAGGGACCTCGCGCATTTAGGGCCCCTAGGTTTGGCAGTTCGCCCTAGCACGGCCCCGGGAAAATATGCAATACTCGTGTTCATATAATCTTTAGTTGCGTTGAGCTGTTATATTATGATCCTGTTTATACCCACCAACTGCGCCAGGCAGGCCATTATCTCGTTTATAATTGTGCAAATAAATTGAAATATTGAAAAAAATTATTTAACACTTTTGTGTGTCTTTAAATTCAATGGTTTTCATAAAAAGAAGAAAGGGGGAGGTTTGGGGGCCTCGCGCTAAAATTTGCCACGGGCCTCGCGCGACGTTAATCCGGCCCTGGTCACTTGTCGGTAGTTCTTGCGGTTTTGATGCCAATTGACAAAGATCAAAAGAGAGCACTGATGACTCCCCCCGTCGGAGAAATACTGGCGCAGCCCAAACCAGCTCAGTGAAATATGGGGCCCCAGGGCCAATTATACCCTTGGGGCCCCGGTGAACCACAATTACCCCCCTCCGTCGACAAACTTTTTATCGCCTTGCAAATTTGTATTTGCCTGTCTTCCTTGAGCTGGGGTCGCGGAGAAAATTGCTCCCTTTGCCGCCTCCCTGCATGGGCGGCCCTGGCGCCGCCCTTGTCTTATCATAACTATCTACCCTAATTCAAGCTGATTGGCGCGGCTCGATGAATTAATTGCCGCTTTCAAACAGAGGTTTATTATTTTAAACCTCTAGAACCAGGGTACCTTTTGTCACTCTGAGGCCAGCGAAATAACCTCTTCCGCAACATGCACGTACGCGTCTACTATCGTCAAGAAACAATCAATACGTATAATCGTTGTGGTCTGTGGGATTTTAATTCAATAGTGTAAACCTTGCAGTTTTAGGGAAGCCTCACATATCGATTTTTCCACAAGAAACGTCATATGTTCGTTTTGGGGGTGGGGGAGGAGGGTTTACAGCTGTGACGTTTCTCTGTAAATATCATGGGAAAATTCGATAGTTTTTTCGAATACCTTAACATTTCGGAATCAACTTTGCAGAGTATAAAAAAGAAAACAACTTGAAAGAGAACGACTATTCAAATATAAGGGCTGGTAAACTAATAATAAAAACTCCTTATATGGATAAACATTATAAACGTTCATTTCACATGTACACGCACGCTAACAGCTGCTTAATAATTAACTTACGTATTTGTAAACATCAGTCGATAAATAAAATGGTACATTAATATGGACAAAATGGATCAAAACCTCTGAAAACAGCAGTTGTAGTTCCAATTCTTTTGGGGAATTTAGTAGCAAATATAATCCTTAAATAGCTCATCGATTTGTATATGTTAGCGCTAAAGTCAAACGGCCGGGTCGTAGATCACGTTGAATAATGATCTGAAGTTATCATGCAACCGTCAACAATGTCTCAAAATACTGGATGTTTGATGATTTTTTTTACAAATATACCGGGATTTCTGGACCACTTTTAAACTTAGCAAAGCGAAAAGTCCCCATTCAAGAATATGTTTTTTCTCAAAAGGTAAAATACTTAGAATACTTGATTAAATTGTTTACTTTGACGGTGTATAAATTAACAGCGTTTGACTTGCAAGACGTCAAAAACGGAAGATTTCAACGCGCTGTCGTTTATCGCGTATTCATTTGCCAAAAGAAGTATTTACGTCAATTGAAAGCTTGTTTATTAAAGAGCCAACTAGTAGAAGCATGATCAATTTGGAGCATTATCGCATGGTGAAAATCGATTTTGTTAAGAGGGTATCGTAAATGAAGTAAGATAGTGTGCTCCAAAACTACGATTATTTCTATTCCTAAAAGTAACTCAGATTTCCTGTAAGTCATGTACACAGTCCTTTGAATAACCGAAAACAAGATTTTTAGAGTTTTAGATCGATTAGAAACGGTTGTCGTCGTGAAATTTATCTGTAAAATCAGCGCATATTTTCCCAGAAAAAATGGCGATTTAGGGTGGTCATGTTAAAACGGCATTTTCTCAAAGTTAAAAAAGTATTTGACCTAAAAAAATATATGGTGCATTTTCCGATATAATAAGGTATATCTGGGCAAAATTTGAGCAAAATCGATTTTTCAGTCGTGGCCGCTTTATGTTTGATTTTTGTGGACATCCTCTCTTAACTTCAATTCACATTTAGAAAAAAGCAGTTAACTTCAATTCACATTTAGAAACGTTTTACGTAGAGTTTCGTTTTGAATTTTACATTAAAATAAAGCCCATCAAAACCAAAAGATTATACCTACTTTATATATTTTAGAAATTGATAGTTCTGTATTTAAAAGTGGGGTCATTTTCAGGACTTTCGCCCAGGATTCAGGTTTTGCACATGCCATCGACGTGTATTGAAAGCGCTCAATTGCCACCTCATCGACGTGTATTGAAAGCGCTCAATAGGTATACTAGAGCTATGTAGAGTTAAAAGAGACTTCTTAGTTTAAAAACATTTAATTGCTACTCTGAGTTTCATGCTTCGTCAGGCGAATGCCGATCGAAAATGTTAGATTACATGGCAAGTTCATTGATAAACAAATTACAATAAATTTAAAATGCCAAAAAGTCATATAATCTAAGTACTATATATAGGTTCATTGTCTCTACATTATCAGAAATTATATCAGAAATATCGTCAGACGAAGATTGCTTCAACAAAGCCAACCCCCTATACCAAGATGCAGTGAACAAAAGTGGCTACAACTACAACTTAGGATATAACGATGCCTGCACCGCAAACAAACAAAAACCGACCTAGGAACATCACATGGTTTAACCCACCCTACAGTAGAAACGTTGAAACCAATGTAGGAAAATGTTTCCTCGAATTAATCGACCGTCACTTTCCAAAATCAAACCCACTCAGCAAAATATTTAATCGCCACAACCTCAAACTAAGCTATACTGTACAGGGTGTATCAAAAAAAAGGAGACCTTTAGAAATCAAGCATATTGTTAAAATTTGAATGCCTTTTCAATTGCACATATGCATACAGGGTGTCCCAAAAAAAACGAAAACTATTGAAATCACTTATTGTTAAATTTGAATGCCCTACCAAACAGCTGGACGTAATGATGCGTAAAATATTGACAAGGCGCATGTATTAGAATTTAGTTAGGAATATCTCCTGGTAAAGTGCGCGATTTTCTGCTCCTGGGAATTAAAAACAGCGTCTTAAACAGTTTCTTTATGCATAAAATTTACTTATGTCAATCATTTATGCACTCGTGGGAACCAACAGAGCGCTAAGGCATTCAAATTCTAACAATTAAATTGTTATTGGTGATTTCAATAGTTTTCGTTTTTTTTGGGACACCCTGTATATTAGAAAAAGGAGACCTTTAGAAATCAACCATTGTTATAATTTGAATCCTGGAGCACTTTGCTAAGCCCACGAGTGCGTAACATGCGATCTACGTACAGTACAGTATGCATGGCAGATTGTTCCCAGGAGCAGATAATCTTTTGTTTAAACGTTATTTCAATTTCTAAAGGTCTCCTTTTTCTAATATATGCACCCCATCAATATTTCACGCACTACGGTTCAGCATGTGTGCAATTGTAAAGGCATTCGAATTTTAACAATATGGTTGATTTCTAAAGGTCTCCTTTTTTTTTATACACCCTGTACAACTGCATGAATAACATTAAAACTATGATCTCGGGCCACAACAAATCCCAATTATCGGAACCAAATGCCACCGCCGATACAACGAAATATTGCAATTGTCAAAAAAGCCCTTGCCCAATGGACAAAAATTGTCAGGCTGACAGCATCATACACGAAGCTGAAGTAACTACGAGGATTCGCAAGAAACGTACGTCGGGCTTTGCGATACTTAATTCAAGTTAAGGTATAACAAACACCAATGCTCGTTCAATCATGAAAGGTATAGAAACGTAACGCAGTCAAGTAAACACATATGGAACCTGAAAGACCAGAAGATCAAATACCAAATCAAGTGGAAGCAAGTAAGACAAGCTAGATCATACACCAACGTTAGCAAAAAATGCAACATGTGCCTGTGGGAGAAATATTACATAATACGTAAACGTAAGACTGCGACGCTCAACAAAAGAAGTGAACTTATGTCGGAATGCAGACATTCAAAGAAATTTTTATTGGACAATGCAATTACTTAGTTAGAACGATGAACCATAGCTTTTAACACTTAGCATATAAACAATATTTTAATCCATCCGTGAAACAATACAACAATGAACATACAGTATAATGTAGAGACAATTTAAATTTATTGTAATTTGTTTCTCAATGAACTTGCCATGTAATCTAACGTTTTCGATCGGCATTCGCCTGACGATTGTTACAGTAGAAGCATGAAACTCAGAGTAGCAATTAAATGTTTTTAAACTAAGAAGTCTCTCCCTCCCTCCCTCCCTCCCTCCAGCACTTGAAATTGCTGGCGTTGTAGACTTCAATCAGTATTGTTGACAGAGACAGATACCAAAGATATATTACATAACTTCCTATCACTGCCTATAATCATTGATCGAGTTTTATTTAAATTCAGTGTCAGCTTATTCTCATTTAACCAAATCGCTAACTTAAGTAAATCTTCATTAAGATTTTTTTCAAGATCATTGACATCTGAGGCGTGGCAATATAAGACTGTGTCGTCGGCATACAAGGAAACATTGCATTTATTGGTAATACTGGGCAGATCGTTTATGTACACGAGAAAGAGAAGTGGGCCAAAAATGCTCCTTGGGGTACTCCAAAAGTGACAGGAAGAGCGTCTGACAATTCACTTCGACAAGACGTTTGTTGCATCCGGTTGCTCAGGTAGGACTCAAACCAACCTACGTTGCTAGATGACACACCCATTGCTTTAAGTTTGTGGAGTAAGATGCTGTGGTCCACTGTATCGAATGCCTTCGACAAATCTAGAAATACAGCTCCACAAAGCCTTCCACATTCCATGTTACTCAGAGTTGGTCAGGGTAGTGATGGTTGAGTACCTTTGTCGAATTCCAAACTGCTTGCTTGTAAGCAAGTTGTTAGTAATTAGGTGGCTATACAATTGCGAGTGAACGGTTCTCTCTAAGATCTTACTTAGAGTAGGCAAGACCGAGATAGGACGATAGTTTGTAGGATTGGAACGTTCACCTGATTTAAATAGGGCCGTAACCTTAGCACATTTCCAAATCTTTGGGAAATTGTTGCTCTTGATGGAAAGATTAAGTAATCTTCTCACAGACTTGCTCATTGAACAAGACGCACATTTTAACAGTCTTGCACTTATTTTGTCGAAACCGATAGCTTTGTTGGTCTTCAAAGTCTGGAGTTGTGCAAGAACATAGGATTCTTGTACTTCTTCGAGCTCAAACATTGTTTCCGGGACAGGAGTGGGACTTGCTGTAAATGTTTGTGAGACAGTTGTAAACTTTGCAGCTAAGGATTTTCCGACTGAGGCGAAATAAGTGTTAAGGGCAGTGGCAATAAATTTGGGGTCTGAGTGTTTTGCTTCATCAGTGACAATGTACTGCGGGGTGGAGCTCTTGTTATCGCGTGACGAAACTTCGTTAACCGCCTTCCAAATCCTGCTGGAGTCACCTTTACTTTGTTCAATTAGCTCGCAGTAGTATTTGGACTTGGCCGATTTTTATTAACAAAGTTTCTCAATTTTTTTACATATTCCAATGATAGGTTTTGTTGGACTTCATCAAGAATAATTTTGCTAACTTTGCCAAGTTCACTTTTTGCGGGGTTTATTAATCGAAACTTTGGGTTGTCCTCGAAATTTTCCTTGTGGTCCTTTGCTGTTACAAACGCTTCTCGTTTTGCCATTGTTTCAATATGGTTATCGATTGAAAGATCTATAGCAATGTCTCTAAGATCTTCGTTCACGTTATTTAACATGTTTGTTTCGCCGAGTTTATAAGATTTAGTAATGTTATCTTTCAATATCTTATCGTATTGATCTGGCGTTGTTTCGTAAAGGTTTCTTGTTTTATCAGCGAATATATACATGTTAGTTGAAGAATTTACCTTTTTTAGATCGTTGTTAATTTTTGTAAGGAATGGGTCGTTCACTTCTCGAAACCTTAACCTTTCGACCATAAGGACGAGATCTTCTTCAAACCCTTTCATTTCCTTGACAAGAGGTGGCGACTTTTTCGATTTGAAGCCAAAGTTGTTTCGTTCATACTTGCTTTGTCCGTTTAGAAAGAAGTCGGCTTTCCATCTCATTCTGGTTACAACACTTTGCACTTTCTCGATAAGACGTAATCGGTACGTGTCTTTAGAAGATACTCCAATATTTTTGAGCGAGTAATCAAACAGGATTGTGTTCATTTTAAGCGTTGGCTACACGAACTAGAGTGCACAACTGATTGCCAGGTGCCAAAATATTTTGCAAGTGAAGCCTACCACATTTCCCATGATGCTTAGCTATAATGGGAATTGCCTATTGACTGTGCATATATATTTTTAAAAATCGCCTGTCACTTTCATGCTTAAAACGAGTAAAGTTGAGAAAACTTAAAAATTTTACCGCATGTGTCAGTAGTTTCCAAGAGTCTTTGTTTGTGTGTAATCCAGAACCAAAATTAGGCCATTTTGATAAGCTTTTTCCCTTTAAATGCAGCTTTTAATACTTAAAAACGGCTATTGACTCTCGCGCCCTTCGCCGCTTGTTGCTACTAGTAGGCTATCACTAATAGCCTACTATAGTAGCGTATAGCCAATCAGAACGCACAATACATGATAGCCTACTAGTATAGGTTTATGCTAATTAACAGTTATTCTACGACCTCGAGTCGAATATGAGCTGATAGCCGATGAGGCGCGTAGAGCCGAATCGGCTATCGCTCATATTCGACGAGAGTGAGTGGAATAACTGTTTTATTATATACACAAGGTCTGAATTCACAGACTTTGCTTTTCGGAATTTTTCTATTTTCGGATATTTTCTATTATATTTTTCTATTTTGTTTATGTTTTTATCTTCGCTCTTTCGGCCGATTATTTCTTCAAAAATATATATTTTTAATCATTTTAAATATTAAAAATTCATTTCCTAACCTGTAAACAATTTGTGCAAGTTTTTTCATTGTGTTTTTAATCCTGTAAAGGCTATCAAAAGCGAACAACTTGCCGTTTTCTCGTTCGCAAAAATCGGAAATTCAGTTGAGTCGCCATTTTGTTTTTCTCTACTAGTAGGATATGAGCTAATATCCTCCTAGTAGAGAACCAATCAGATTGCAGAATACCTCATATCCAGACCTTGTGTATATAATAGCTTATATCGTACTGTATATGTTCTCTCTCTATTGTAGTTTGGTATCAATATTTGTGTCAGCTGGTGCCTCAGGGATACCAAATTCCGGATTATCCTATACCATTTTGTGTCTTGAAGCTGTTGGAGTTCCAACAAGATTCGTTGGCCTTATCTTTACTATTGATTGGATTGTGTGAGTTGATGCATGTGTATTACGTACATATATATAGTCAACCATTGCGCACGTCTGGCTGATCATTTACCAATTAATGAGGAGTCAAAATCCTCTTCGTCATATTTTTGGGTATATTTTCGTTATAATATTGTTATCTGTACCTTCAATCCTCTATATTTAGCTTTCCTCTATCCAATAACCAAAGTACCCATATAATATAGCTACGTTGGGCCATTTTGCACGAAAAAGTTTGTTTGGCGACCTCTTCACATGCAATTTGATAGTATTTGAAGAACTCACTCGAAAATATCATACAATGGCTACAATAAGTTATTATCAAAAAGAATATTATCATATCCGAAAACGTTGGTATTATTATTTTATACAAATTTTCAAATAATGTCATGATTATATCCACAGTGGCCGAGTACAAACTGTTAACAACGTCATGGGAGATGCTTATGGTGCAGGAGTGATAAACCACGTGTCCTCTGATCTGGATGTGCTGTTTATAGGCGACGATGGAAACGAGAGCATAAAAAATGGCAACGCAAATTAACGGCAGTCATTTTCACGTTAGAGAGAATGGTATAAAAAACACATGCAGCACTTTTTAAATCTCAATTTTCCGCCTTATTTTGACTAAAGAATGAGTCAATTGACCATTACTTATACCTGGGGTTAGCATTGGAACATAAACCAAAGAGAGATCGTGTGAATATAGCTTAATTGACGAAGTCAACATTATTTTAATATGTGTATATGTAATGGAAATAAACTTTAAAAATTCATATTAAAACGGCGACGTTGTATACAAGACTCACAGAAAGATTCTATTCAATATATTCAATACGACTGTGACTATAGAGCAGTTGTAGCTATACTACAATATCTCTCACATTGAAAGGGCTCCTCACACACAGCAAAATGATTATTATGCTAGAAATGATTTCAAACTCTATACCGACTATAGTACCTATAGTGTTACATTACTCAGATTCTGTTTTCTTTTCAAGTAGTTCAGGTAATATTTCAAATCCTACTATGAGGACTGGATTAGATTTCAATTCAGCGCAATTTGATCAAGTCCGAGGCGAAGCCAAGGACTGCATCAAAATGAGAGGACTTGAAATATACTAGTCCTGTCAGAATTGGAGGATTTGAAATAGCATCTCATACGAATAAATCACTACTTAATTTAAGGTGAGGTGAATTGATTTTGATCCTGTCCTAGGACTGAATTAATTTTGATCCAGTCCTAGGATAGGATCAATAAACTTCACCAGGTATCCAGTATTATCGTGTGAGCAAAATAAAGCAATACGGTTGACTAATTTACTCATGAATATTTAAAAGCAATTTTACAGACGCAAACAAGTACTATTCTATGTGATAATTTCATATCTTCTTTGTCATAGTTTAGCTTGATGGTATCCTGCTTTACATAATAAACTTGTTAAAAAAAAGAACGTGTGAGAACAACACATTTAGCCGCAGATTCATGCAGCTAAAGGAAACTGCCACAATATAAAGTCGCAAAGCTTGTATATTTATGGTTGGTAACAATATTAAGCCCAACGACTGTACATCCATGCCCACAGTACCCAGATGCTTAGGGCCATATAAGCCAAGCTAGCGAGGTAAACCGGGCTGATTCGCAAGTAGCGAGATCTCGCCTCGTTCCCTCACATGGGAACCGGGTCAGTCCATTCATTTTAATGGATCAGCCCACGCAATCTTCCGGGCTGTCCATTGAGCGTGGAATCGTATGAACGGACTTAGCAGGCCAGCCCGGCAAATCGGGTATGAAAGTGTATGAGAAGGCATGCTTTATTCCATCTATAGAAGGCATCTAAAAATTCTGCAAACGAAATAAAAATCAACAATATCCCCCCTCGTGTGAAACAAGTAACAACTTGGACGGGCAAAGCGAGTCTCGCCAGGCTCATATGAACAGGCCATAAACAACGCTGGTTTACCTAGCAGCTCTATGAAATATAGTCCATTGAAGAGGAAATGGAGGCATGATTCAAAGCTTGTCTTACAAGCAATGTACTCAAAATTTCCATCGCAATCTCAGAACGATCGTTCGAACAGCAAAGATCCATAACTCTTTTCCATTTCTCAGTAGTCATCTTATCCGAAGATTTCTCTTGAAAAATAAGATCACTTATGGAATGCTTTATGCGTTTTGAATCGTAAACACCAGTGGAAGCAATTTGTTCAAGAAATGAAATAAGTACCTCTTCATTGTTTGTAAGTAAGATATTTATGATACAACAAAATGATATACCGCATTCAGTCCTTCTGCTGTTCAGGTTAGATTGAAGAAGCATGATTGCGTAGAAAATTGTGGGGTTTGATTCAAGTATGGCTTTGTAGTCGGCAATCTTGAAACCTCCATTTGTTCGTCCATACTCAATGACGGCACGATACTTCCCTTGTCTTGCTAAGGTGTTGGCAACCTGCTGATGAGCTTCAAACTTTCGGTAAATTCCTTCTGCAAGTGCTTGGCATTTGCAACAACAATTGCGAACACATTGACAACTATCTACTAAGAAGTTAGCCAAAGGTATTGATGATACAATGCAAGGTTGATTAAGCCAATGAATAGCTAAGTTTATTCCACTCTCCTTCAAAGCACAGGAAATACATTCCAATGACATGCTTGGTAACAATTTAAAAGTTTCAGAATCGACTACACTCGTGGTCATAAGAGCTTCACAGTACAGGAACAATGGTGATTTTGACCCCTCGAAAATTTCAACTTCTTTGAATTTCTGCATAGCTTGTGGTGTCCGTAATATTGCCATAGGCGATGTCGCTGCATGGATGGCAGCTGCTTCATACTGAGCAAAATCAAAGAGATCATTAAAATGTTCAATAAAAGTGACAAGCTTCTCGGATTCTTTCTTCTTCAAAGGATCGTCATCATCAGTAGAAATATGTTGTTGTAATGGATCATACTTCCTGGATGAATCCAATCTTTCATAATCATTGAGTGCCTTCAAGATTACATCAGCCAGTTCTGTCTTTGGAACGCTGTTCGAAGGTAGTGTGCTGGATTTTGCAGCCTAATAAGGAAATAAACATATATATATATATATATATATATATATATATATATATATATATATATATATATATATATATATATATATATATATATATATATATATAGTATATATATATATATATATATATATATATATATATATATATATATATATATATATATATATATATATATATATATATATATATATATATATATATATATATATTCTTGTCGTTTTGTTGAACTTTTCTTCAGACATACAAAGTAAAAAAACTTTTATTCGTAAATAAAGTTTTAAAATCCCAAACGTTTCGCCGATCAAGGCTTCTTCAGTGGGAAACTAGTTAAAAGTCATATAATGTCCCTATATATATGCAAGTCCGTCAATACTCAATAGCCAAAATTACAATATATAAAACTAATTAGAGATAAAACGACTGTCTTGATTACATGTACAGGATTAAAAAAAAAAATTAAAATTAATTATATATACAAGATTTAAGAAAATTAAAATACTAATTGTATAAAAGTGTTCTCCCAGTACAGCCATTCATAATTTTGTCGGCATTGTTTCGTATCTCGACTGCTTCAATGTACCTTCGCTCCTCTTGGTTGCGGATATGTGTGTGTAAAAGTTTCCAACTTATTTTAGCGTCCTCAGGTCTCTGATTGTGGGAAATTATGTGTCTGTATACGGTCTGCTTGTCCATTGATAAGTGTTCAATTATATATATATATAGATATAGATATAGATTAACTTCAGTTGGCAAGTCAAAAGATTCTAGGGCCGGAAATGAGCTATCTTATATCAGCATAGAGTACAATTCACTGCAATATTAATTATTTACACCTGGATGTCTCGAATCCAAATTGTCCGACCGATAAGTATAGATTTGTAACATGCAAGCACGACATCCAATCACTGATCGATTGAGTCATCCCCTGCGTCGTCGTAAGCCCTCCTCCCGGCTATGGAACGCGACTCGTTTTCCATTTCTTTTGTAATTGTATAAGTAGAAGACAATAAACAATTTTATTCAACAGATCGACTTTAAAGTTTAAATTTCTCCTAACATGTAATCATTCACGTCACGCGTCTGCTTTTGTCTCACCAGAGGAATCGGGTGTCCAGAATTTTTTTTGAATACCCATTCGCAGGCCGGCTAAAACGGCTAAAACCCATAGAGGCATAGAGAGGGATTAGACAAAAGACAAATTTTGACGTTAATAGACCTTATTCATAAATCGTGATGAGGCCTCGTATCCTAGGAAACGCGGGAAAATTTCTGGCGGCGATGGCAGAAGTAAATAAAAAAGTTGACTAAAAAACGAACTGCTTTTTTCGAAAATATATCTATAAAGCTGAGCATGAAAGTTGAAATAATACTTCAGAGAAAATATAATGTGATATTTTAACGTAAAACTTTTGATGCTGGGGTCAATCGGAAAAGGAACTTTTGTTTTGCTGTAGTTTGTATATGGCCCAAACAAACAACCAACAAGGTCAAGGGCCTACAAGGCCACAAAACGTCTACAACCAAAATCGTACGAAACGAGGTACGAAATATGAACTATTGTTGAAGAAATAAGATTAGAACTCACTCAGGTATTGTATCTTTTACTTTTTAAACTTGTATTAAACTGCTTGCAGAATGTCTTCGAGCCCAGACACACTTCATATTTTTTCCATGCGAATCAATAACATTTGACGTATTCTTGTGATTTTTTGAACTCTTGTTTTCTTTCATATTTATATCAAAGTATAAAATAAACTTACATTCCATAGTTGTCTTGATTTTTTACGGATGTATTGGCGTTAAAAATTAAAATCTCAGTAAATTACTGTTCTTCCGCTTCTGAATAAACACCACCGCTACGTTGTCGTATTTTTACACTTTTCACAAAAAAAACCGGGATAAAAACCGGTCGTTTTTTACTATAATCGTTTATAGGTTTCGTTGTGAGCACAAAATCTTACACCCACCCAAACAAGACGACCACCCAAACAAGAACAAGGCAAGAAAACAGTAGGTTTGGTCAGGATTTTCAGACAAGCCAACTATTACAGCTGGGGAACTTTTTAACATCTCTAGCCCTATCAGCCCCCCAACACCCGAATCGCAGCATGATGAAGATGTAACCTGCCAATTCAAACGGATGGGAAAACTAAAAGGTCTGAAACTTGGTAGTCTAAATATCAATAGTCTATTAAAAAATATTGAACATATTCGTTATATTTTATCACAGTATTCCTTCCACATCTTTGCTATTAACGAAACAAAAATTGATTTATTAGTAAATGACTCTGAAATAAGTATACCAGGTTATAAACTAGTTAGAAGAGATAGAAATAGAAATGGAGGTGGTGTTGTAATATATGTTCAAGAACACCTCTCCATTTTGGTTAGAAATGACTTACTTCCAAATAATCTGGAAATGATCTGTATCGAAATTCATCAACCTTTCAACAGGTCATTTCTAGTTAGTACATGGTATAGACCACCTAATTCAAGTACGGATGTATTTGATGCATACGATATTTTTCTTCTTAATTGTGATGCTGAAAACAAAGAACTAATCCTATTAGGAGATATAAACTGTGATGTTGCTAAATCCCCACCAGAAGCACATACATTTAGATTTCAATCTATAAATTCATTATATAACATGGCTCAGTTAATAGAAGAACCAACCAGGGTTGCGAGAACATCTGCTACTATAATTGACCTTATTCTGACAAATGTTCCTGAAAAAATTTCTCATGCTGGCGTCTTTCACGTTGGTATATCAGATCATAGCCTAATATATGCAGTTCGCAAATTCAAACCACTTAAACGAAGGCCGACTATTAAAAAAGTTCGTAATTTTAAACACTTTTCTGAAACTGAATTTATATCCGACCTAACCAATATTCCTTGGCAAACTGTTTTCACAACAAGTGATCCAAACTTGAGTTGGAATAAGTGGAAGGAACTTTTTATCGGAACACTAGATAAACATGCTCCTGTTAGACATATAAGATCAGAGAAACACACCACTCCGTGGATGACAGCGGAAATAAGGTCAGCTATGAGAAGGAGAGACTACCATAAGAAAAAGGCCATAAAATTGAAATCTGATTCACATTGGCATAATTATAAGAGTCTGCGTAATAAAGTTAATAAACTAATCCGTGTGACAAAATCTACTTTCTATATCAACAAAATATCTGAATGTGCAGAAACTAAGGATTTAAAAAAATGCTGGTCTACAATAAATTCCCTGCTAGGGAAACAAAATAAATCCAATTATATTAGTGAGCTCAAAGTTGGTGAAAATGTCATCACAGACCCTAATCTCATTGCGGAGCATTTTAATACACACTTCATCAACATTGGAGTGTACCCTGATAAATGATACGCCAAACGAATGTGGAGAAAATCTTTATTTCTCTGACACAAACATCCATTCCCAAACTAATAATAAATTTAATTTTTCTCTCATTAAGGTTGATAGTGTCCTCTGTAATTTGAAACACCTTAAAGCAAATAAATCCACTGGCCTAGATGCCATCCCAGCGAAAATACTCAAACTAGCTGCCCATATTATTGCCCCTTCCTTAACGTATATTTTTAATTTATCTCTTCAAAGCGGTATTTATGTTAACGATTGGAAACGAGCTCGAGTAATTCCTATCTTCAAATCTGAAGATAAAAGTAAATGTGAAAATTATAGACCCATTTCTATTTTGTAAATTGTAAGTAAAGTCTTTGAAAAAGAAGTGTTTAGGCAAGTGTATACGTACGTGAATGAAAGTAATCTTCTCTCAAAGTATCAATCTGGCTTTCGGCCACAACCCTCAACCTTATCAGCCCTCATTAAAATATGTGACGAAATCTTAAATAACATGGACGAGGGGAAAATAAACTGTATAGTATTTTTAGACATACGGAAAGCTTTTGATTCAATAAATCACAATATTTTATTAAGTAAAATAAGATCCAACTTTGGCATTAGCGGTAATGAATTACTCTGGTTTGAATCATACCTAACGAATAGGGAACAACAATGCGTA